AAACACCCTGCTGACATGAGGATGCCACTTCATGGGTGAAGCAACTAAATAGAGAAGAAAGCGTGTGGAACACTATTAGGGCAGTGGAAATATTGAACTGGACTTTTTGAGATAAATTGTTTAAGATACACGGCAGAGAATGGGAACCATAAATGTCACTATTAAAAACTCTAGAAATCTGTAGAACATGCAGGTCTTACAGCCACCTAGTGACAGATAACATCAGCTTGGTGTCATCAACAGCTCATATATGGGTTACACGCTCATCTTTCCTTTCTAAAGGGTGATTTCTAGAAAGGCTCCTAGCCACCTGCCTGCCCCAGTACACCTCCCAAGAGGGAGCTTTGCCTTCTCTGAACTGACAGTTCTCTGAGGCTCAGCTAAGGAACAACTAACTGCTCTCCACAGACTTCCAGCTGGGATGTAGAGCCTTTTTTTCCAGAGCAGCCTGAGATAGGAAAGCATCCTCTTCTGTGTCTGATGGGAAATGCCTTTCATAAGAACAAAGCTATATTTGATGACACCAGGCTTGGTCCATAAGTCATCCTGCGTAGCTAGGGCCTTTGCTTACTAACACTCTGGGTCTTCCCTCATCCTTATGCCTGTCCTGCCTATGTTTTGCTACAACAGTAAGAGCTCACCAGGAAGTAAGCCCCAAACCTGTCCAGTGATAGGCAACGCTCCAGTGCTGCCCTTCTGCCATACGTCCCCAGTCTGAGCCCACACATGTAGGCACAGAATTCCTCCCTGAGAAAATGCACGGGCTGAATCAGCCACAAATGTATCTTTGACTCCACTCTTGAAATAAAGGAGAAGTGGGAGGGAAAAGTACATGGGCTTCTTACGGATCTGGAAAGGCAAGTTGCATTGGTTTCCCATCTGGCATATAGGAATTGACTAAGAAATGTGACTACTAATCAGGGGGCCTGAAAAGGCCCCTTACCCCCAGAGAAGCACTGGGAAGAAAAGTAATGTATCTGCAATTATTATTATTATTTTTTAAAGCTGATACAAAAGAGTGGTTATGGACTTTCCTAAAGCACTAAAGGTTTTTCCCCCCTGACCAGCAGTGTTCAGAGGGCCCACTTGTTCCGGGTCTGAAGGAGGGCTCATGATTCTGTTTGCACGATGCTCTTGATTACAACAATCTTGTTTCATTTACTGGCTTGAAACTGATGTGAAAGACCAAAGAGACTGGGTGGGGAGCATCATTTGCCTGAGGTGGAAATGGGGAGAGGACAGATATAATATGCAAAGAATATTTGTTTCTGTGCTCAGCAGTTCAGTTCAAACTTCCACGACGGGCCTCTTTTTCTTCACACACTCACAGAAAGATGCTGGTGGGAAGGGACCTTTGAGGTCTCTAGCCCAATCTCCTTGTTCACAGCAGAGCTGACGCCAAAGGTAGATCAGATTCTTTTACGTGTACCAACAGCACTGACAAACTTAATTCCAACACTGGGACCGGCTCCCTCCTCTCATGCTTCTCATCCACAGCTCACCAGCACATCCAGAGCTGTCTTCTTCATGAGGCCATGCCTACCTGGCCCCTGAGGAGGAGCAGGCACCCAGCTCCATCTGCTCACAGCTTCCTGCTGTTCTGCTTCCCCCTTATCCTGTGCTGCCTGGATGAGGAAGGCCTGGTGTGGCCACAGAACTTCTGGAATGTTCCCAGCGGCCAACGCTGGCTGGGCTTAGCTGTCCCATGCAGCCTCCAGCATTGCCGTCACCCCCTGCCAATGGTCATGCTGAGGCTGTTGAGACTCAGTCCCACACCTTCAGATGTGAGCTGGTGGACCCATTGTCCAACCGTTCCATTTGTTCAGCTTCTTCAAACTGAAGAACACAGTTGAAAAGTAATAATTACCTCTAGAGCTATGGAGGCATCTTACCCAAACCACCACACTGTGCTGTGTACACAGCCAGTCCATGCCCAGAAACCACTGGGGCTTGTCTCCTTTAGCAAGACACAACCTTCTGTGTATTACCTACAGGTGGCAGGGCCACCAAACATCGCAGCAAGAAAGGGGCCATTGACACCCACCATCTAGAGACCTCTAGCAACACTGTGATCAGGGCTAGAAAGCTGCTTACAAAATTGCCTCCTGACAGCAAAACCTCTTTCATGTGAAACCAGCAAGGACTTCACTGCAGGCATATTAAAAAACTAAGGTCTGGTCTGCAATTGCACTTGCCCTGACCAAAAGACAAGTCCACCCGGTGCACAGACAGCCTCTTGCAGTCTAATCCCAGTTGTGCTGACTTCTAGTGTGACCTTTGGACAGCTTTGAGGGAGTTCTGCCCCCAGCCAATGAAGCTGACAGATGGTGACAGGAATTAACTGAAATGAGCAGAGGATTAGCGCAGAGCTGAGAAAGGTGGCTCAGGCTTCTGGATGTTACCACTGCTTCTGAGGGATCCCACCACCGATTTTACTGCAGAAGAAGAATTAGGCTCAATGGTGAAAGACTTCTGCAGGTTTGGATGCAAAGTGCAGGGCGTAAGTCCATATCCAAAACTTCTGGAACTCTGAAACTTGCTGTGATTGTCCAGTCTGCTCCAAAGAAAGGAACTGAACTGTGCAATACCCAATCGTTATCTGTATCCCTCAACTCAAGTCAACAATAACATCCTGCAGAGCACCGATATGAATGAATGTGGAAGCAGATATTCTTCTATTTCCTCACCTTCAGCTGTATCTTCTGTCCACAGGTAGTGACAAAGGTGTCCAGTAAAAGTAAACAAGATGGAAGAACTGTCAGAAGCTGTGGAATTGAGGACTCCATAGAAACATGGAAACCAGCTGTCAGCCCCTCATCACTTCTCTCTGTCCTGCAGCATTTCCCTTGGAGGAAATGGGGAATGGCTGCATATGCCTAAAAGGCAGGTGCTGCCGCACTTACTTAAGGGTGATCAGATGGATAGATACAGATATGCTGATGTTGTACTCATGTGGAAAGCAGAGACCTCTCCCACCTCATCTGCACAAGCACTCCTCACTACTCAAACTATGGCATCACTGCTGGGAAGATGCATGGAAATTGGAATGGGCTTTTGTAGAGGTTGGATTGTCCTCTAATGATCCATATTTGGTACCAAACAGTAAAAGTTGTCTGGTCAGCAAAATCTGGGGCAAATCCTGAGGACTTGCTCCAACGTGAAAGTATTTTGAAATGAGCAGGGACTGGAATCTATCAATTTTTTAAATGGAGCAATAGTAGGAATATAGAATTGCACAAGCGTGGTTAAACGATACGTGCGGGTTGAATCAGCACATTCACCATAGTGCCCAGGGGGAGCGGGAGCAGGGAGAGGCATTGCAAGTCAGCCTGATGCAAGAGCTACCTGCTTTTGAAATGCTGCTCACAGGGGAGATGGCCAAAATGGAGGTGGCTGCAGTTGCTGAGAGCTCCACGACACAGGGCAGAGCTGCACGAACACGGCCTGTGTTGGTGTGACAGCTTTGCTGCAAAGCACCCAAACGCAGAGCCTGGTGTATGGCTTCAGCTGGAGATGGGGCTGTCGCAGAGACCTGCATAGATGGGAAGAGGGCTGGCAGCAGCTGTACCGTTTGCACCATATACTTGTCACTCTGCATGCCAGGCCAGGTCCTGCAGCCAAACAGGGACATTTGGAGAAAATGACAATGGATGGCTTGCATCTCCAGAGACCTGTGACTGTTTGTACTGTCAGTATCTCATCTGTTGCTGTCATTGGGCATGCACAAAGCTGCTGATGCTCAGACAAAAGTTGGTATTATTTACGGCTCCCAGGCTTGGTCACTCATTGTGTGACTGCCAAAATACAAGTTTAAAAAGGAAGAAACAGTAACAGCAACTTTAAAGGTCTCCAAAGATAAAAGGCAATTATTTGACAGATCTCTCCCAGGCAGCTGGTGGGACAAAGAGCTGAAGCTCTTGCACTCCAAACATTTCCCTTTCATTCTGTGACTGATACTGCACAGGTCATGCTTGATGCCAGCTGGGGCAGGGATGCTGCAGAGCAGCACTTGCCTGCACCCAGCAGGCGCAGCTTAGGCTCCATTTCTAAGCCACCATCATCTGGTGCAGAGGCTCGGTTTGTTCATAGAGCCTTGCGACAGCCCCAGAGCTTCACCTTAACGTTTGTTGCACATCCTCACTGCAAGTGCCTGGCAGATGGAGCTGTGTGAGAGGGAGCAGAACCCTTGCGTGCTGATTTGCAGCATGCAGGTGCCATTTAAATAATTATCACAGGTTTTTTAACTGACTGACTTCTTTCCACCAGCTGCTATCCAAGCCATCCTGCTTCTTCCACAGGCTGACTTCTACTGGTCAGAGCATAACCTAAGACATAGACACAACCATCCACACAAGTTGTCTGAAATATTTTTAAACGCTTTTATTTACAGTGCTAGTTGAAAACAATATATATATTTATATCTATAATCCTCGTGATGTCTGTGCCATAGAAAATGCTGTGGCTATATTGCCTTTAATTTACAAAAAATGGTCACAAGAGAATCTCAACAGAAAAATGGAAATCAAAGTTTGGTCCCCAATTTATCTATCTCTTGATTTGTTTTAAAAAAGCCTCCAAATTAAAAAAATATGCAGTTCAGATGAAATTCATATATAAAAACAACCCTTTTCTTCTGAAAAATTCACGAGGGTCAGCTTGCCGTCATGTAAACTTGAAATAAAAAAAAAAAAGCTTAAGATAAATCCCATCTCTGCATATGGTTTAACAGAACCATTATTTGCTCGTAATATTCTTTTTACTTGTCTCTCAGGGTTCAATGGGAAAGCAAATGAGAGGAGGCCTAGGACTGGAAAATGCACCATGAGATCTGTGCCCGCAGCCTCCTGGACTCAGGGAGAACATCTGACAGCAGGTCCTGGGAGCAGAAGCTGTCAAGAATCTCAGTCACACTAGTGGAGAGGGAGGGCAAGTGAAAAGGAATGAGAGGTGCTTGCCATGTGAACAGCCAGTTGTATAGGCTGGCAAGGTTACGCGTTGGGCCATGATGGAAAATGATGAGATTCTTGAGGGAAGAGGCTCATTTGTATGTGGGGCACAGCTGGAAAGATGTGGGGAGGTGGAATAATTTCAGGTAGGGAACATCATAGATGGGCTGGATCTCTGGGTGGGAAGGAGACTGCTGTATTCCCTGTTTGAGAGCTTTTTTTAACCTTTCCTCATCTGAGATTGTGTGAAGCCAGAGGCTAATGAACAGTGCAAGCACAGGCTGGAATGGAGGAGGAGAGATGGACGGAACACAGGAAATGGGAGGGGAGGGCTCAAGCGGAGGACCCATTTTCTGTCTTCTGCCTCTTTGGATCCACTTCATCCTGAGTATGACAAAGAGGGGAAAAAAAAGTTACCAGCAGTCACTGCACCAGGACATAATTTCTCCAAAAAATTCTTACTGCTGCTCGTTCCTTCACACAAAAATCCTATTTGGCCACCCGAAATCCATTCCTCTTTGAAGTATTTTGAGTGTCTGATGACTGTTTCATTGATAACAGTTAAGACATGGACAGCTTCTTTTGCAGGAGCACCTGCACTGCTGCTTTCAGGAGGCGTAGCAAGCACAGGCTTACACCACTTCACACAGACCCTGAGGCCTGGCCTGCAGCCCAGAAATTACAGGTCTTAGCGGGGTCATCACCCAGCAGCTCAATTGGCCCTGGATCCCACCAAGAACCCATAAGGATTTATTGTCCCTTTTCCACATCAGATTTGTTTACCCATCTGCAGCTGAAACAGCAATGAGATGCAAAGATGAACTGAGATGCTCAGCAAAAACATCCTCATGGACTTCATCAGCACACAACATGACCAGCTCGTTCCTTCTCACTGCCTTTACCCACACAATCACTTACCTCCTCCTCCTCTGCAGATCGTTTTTCTGCATGTCCGTCCTGCTCTTGCCCATTTTCGTCTCCTTCTAAGCACAACCAAGAGCAGAAATTATGAATTAATTAAAGTAGCATTTAAGGAAACGTAATCTCACAGTTAAAGAGCTCAGAAGAGGAATTTTCCTCCTTGTTCTTTTATTTCCCCAAAATTTCTCCTCCCTGCAAACCCCCCATTCTTCCTATGCTAATCATACCCACCGTCATCTTCATCACCACCTTCTTCTTCATCCACATCCTCTGGATTCTCTTCCTCATCTTCTTCAGCTCCATTTTCCTCATCCTAAGCAAAACAAATTTGTCAGAACAGAAACTACTGTCACGATGACGTTCCCATGTGCTCTTTGCTGCAAGAGAACATCCCTGCCACACCAGCCTCCAGCTACAAGCACACACCAAACAAGTGACCTCTGCACTGTTAGTCAGACTCTGTCCCTCCCACATCAGCTGTCCCACACTGCCAAAGCCCTCCACCCCTCATGCCTCCTTGACAAAATCAATTCCCCCATTCCCTTCTCACACTGTGAACCTGTGACATGCGTTGAGCTCATATCATAACACACGTAGGAACATCCTTCTGGTTACAAGCTAATGACAGCTGGTGCTAGCTGTACATCTACTCCAGATGCTCTTGACCTCTGTCAATCTGTGTATCTCCTTGCTGCTCCCTCACGCACCTGGGGATACCTGAGGAGATGCAGTGCCGCATCCTCTTACTGCCACCTCCTGACTCCCACCTGTCCTGTCTCCGTTCTCCCCTTTGATCCTCTTGCTCATCGGCAGTGCTCACTACACCAAGTTTTTCAAGACTAATTCTCCAGTTACCCTAGGTCTCGTCCATTTGCCCCCCTCCCTCCGCAGCCTGTCTGCTCTGTTCTCTTCCTCCATCTCCCTTCACTCTTACTTGCAGCGACTCTTGCCGACGACCCTTCCCAAAGCCCTCGATCTCTCTAACCGCGCCTCGAAGAGATCACTCCACGCCTCACCTCTACTACCTCCTTCTTCTTTTCTTTGTGGACTGCTTTCTCCTCCAGTTTCTCCTTCTTCTCCTTCATTTCCTATAGGCGACATGGGGAAAAACATGGCAGCGCTCAGCGGCCAGAAACGAAGCCGATCGGACGCGCGGTCCCAGACAAAGAGAGCTCGGGGCAGAAGATGCAGAACGGAGGCGACAGCACACGGCGGGCAGCCCGGCTCTCCCAAGCACGCAGGGCAGCTCGGCTGGCGGCACGCCTCGGGGCCGGCCGCGCGGCGCCGGGCAGGGCGGCCCCGGGCCAGGGGACGGCCCTCTCGCGCCGAGGCGCCCGCCCCCGGCCTCCTCCCGCCGGAGCGGGGCGGCAGGTTGTCGGCGCGCCTCCGGCCGTCTGCCGCCACCTTTGCGCTCCGTTTTGGTCGGCTTTCCGCTTTTCTGTCGCCCGCTGAAGCCGCGCGGAGCCCCTCGCGCGCTCCCAGATCCGCGGGACGGAGCGGCGCCGCCGGTCGTTCCTCGCCCCGCTCGGCCCCGCGCCGCTCCGCCCCACCCCCAACCTCGCCGAGCGGGATCCCGCGCGCGGGCCCTCGCGCCCCCCGCCCCCGCTCCCCATTGGCGGAGGGCCGCGCGCGCCCCCCCCGTCGGCCGGGCGGTCGGGGCCGCTGGGAGGGGGCGGCCGAGAGGGCGCGCGCACCGGGCGGGAGCGAGCCGCGGGGGGTCTCACCTTGGCGCTCAGCTCCGCCGGCGCCTCCTCGACGCGTTTCTCCGACATCCCGTCAGGGGCAGCGCGGGGCCGCTCGCGAACGTCGGGGAGCCCCGAGGAGAGAGGGCGCTGGGAGGGGGGAGGGTGGCACGCGGCGGGAGCTCCGAGTCCCAGCGGTCCGGCAGCACGGCTCCCGCCCCCGGGCCAAAGTGCCTAGGTCTGCCGCGATGGGGGATACGGCGGTGGAGGGGATTTATACCGCGCCGGGTGACGAGGGAAGGAGGGACCTGGTGAAGGGAGGGGAGAAGGCGGAGGAGGAGGGAGGGAGGCAGGGACGGAGGGAGGCGGAGGACGGCCGTCGGCAGAGCGGGCCTTGAGAACAATGTGCGCTCGGCACGGACCGTCCGCCTGCGGTCACACGCCGGCCCCGCGCGGAGTTCCGCCGCCGCTCGGTCGGGTGACGGCGCGGCGGTGCCCTCGGCCGGCCCGCCCCGCGCCCGAAGAGGGCCCCGAGGTGCGAAGGAGGAGCCGCCCCGGCATCGCGCCGCCCGCACGCCTCGCCCGGGCAACGGGCGGGCCGAGGCGCGCCGCTGTTCCCGTCTAGGGAATCGCCCGGGAACGAGTGGCCGTGGCGGGCTCGGCGAGAGATGCTGCTGGGACGCGCGGCGGGGCGGCCGAGCAGCCTGCCGACGGGCTGGCTCGTGCCGCTCCCGCCTGGAATTTTCCACTCGGCTGCCGCCCTCCCCCTGCAACCACTGCCAAGCGGGGCTCCTCCCCGCGGCCGCGTCCTGCCGGGCCGGGGACCCGCGGTGGGGGCGGGGCGGGAAGGAGGATGTTTTTCCCGCGCTCTGCGGCGGCGGCAGGGGGCGGGGCGGGGCCGCTCGCCGGGTTGAAGCGGGTGGGGGAGGGGTAGCTAGCGCGTCCCGCTTCCCCATATAAGGAGGAACTGAGGGTGGGCGTCCGATTGGGCCATTCAAATGAGCAGTTTGCCTGGCAACAGGCTTCCTATTGGTCTTTGGGGGCAGGCTCCGCGTGGGGGAGGGGGCGCGGGGAGCGTTGCTGCAAGGACCAGGGGAGGGCACGTGGGGATGCGGGCGCGGCGCGAGGACGGAGTACGGGGCGGACGGTGGCGGTGCTGGCGCCGCTGCCGCCGTGTTCGTCTCTCAGCCTGTCCCGCCATTCCTTACGACTGCCTTCTCACCTCCGGCAGGGAGGGACGACGGGTGACGTTCGGGAGCGCTACGGGCCCCCTGCGAGTCGTCAGCGCTGCGGGAGGCTCATCCGCGGCCGTACGGCAGCGACCGCAGCGGCGTACGAATCTGCATGTCCTCTGCGGGGCTCTGCGGCTGCTCCCCGGGCAGCCCGGCCCTCCCGCTGCCCGCCGGTCTGAGCCCGCCGGCCGGGCGCTGCCGCGGGGCTGACGACACTGCCACCGTCTGCGTTGCTCAGTTGTTGAGGGCGGCGGGAGGCGTGCAGCGGCGCCACCTGGTGGCACGCTTGGGCGTTGCCGTGCCGGGAGAGAGGCGCCTCTCGTACTCAGTTTGAGTGATAGAAAGGGAGGTTGGTGCGTAGAGAGAGTGATAAGTATACATCTCCTACAGTAGGAAGGGTGAAAGACCACGCGGATGAGACAGAGGTGGGGGATCCCTACCTTGTCATCTGTTGTCTCCTTCACAGCTAGAGCAGTTCCTCTCAGATAACGTGACTAAGCTGTGTTCGTCTTGGCTGCATATAGTAAGTGCTGCCTGCCCCAGGGAAATTGTGCTTAACACAGACATGCAGATCCAGTCTAATGCAGGAGAGCACATCATGAAAATGCATGCATTCAGTGTTTTTCCTCCTGCTTCATAAGCCCCTCTAGCCATCTTTTCAGGTCTACATGCTGTCAGAATTTGAGTCCTGGCATTTGGTTCCACTTTCATCCCTCTTTTCTGCAAGAAACGGTAAATCTTCATTTCTGGAGCTGCATTCAAAAATAGGAGGAAAAAAAATGAAGTTGATGGCTGGATGTTGTCATATTCTGCTTCTCCTTGTCAGAGATGCATGACTCACAGCTCTGCTGTTCTTTGCACCAATCCAGGATTTTTGTCCTTATCTTTACATCCTCAACTCCTGCACCATCACACATCCTGTACCAGAGACACATCCATGCTAACGCACAAACAGACCTCAACACAACATCCCAGAGAAGAAAAAATGAAGATTGTGTTTGGTGATGACACTGTGCCCAAACAGTTACACTGACACAGGCAACGTGCCCTCAGATGCAAATACACAGACAGCACTTTATGTGAGGGAAGTATGTTTCCAGCCACCTGTGAAAGAACCATTTGGTTAGGTCTGTGACCTCTTCCTTCCCCCTGTGTATCCTCCAGTAGTCAGAGTGCAGTCTTGCTTCTTCCTATTCTTCCTCCCCACCATATTCTCTTTGCAGTTTTTACTCAGATCTGTTGATTCAGAACTTCTGCTACGTATCTGTATTCTTTGTCAGTGCTGTTCCCATGGCCATTGCTCCCACGTTGTCTCTGTTTTCCTTTCTTGTATGTACAAAATTCAGCTCGTGTCCCCTTCGTTCTTCACGTCCCATTTTTCCTTGCATGCCTGTAGTTTTTTTTCCCCTCATATCCTATGTGAAACTCCTCTTCATGCCCTGGGACATGCCTGCTTCTGTATCCCATCTGCTCCTCTGATCCTGATAGTGGGATTTCATTGGCTTCTAGTGTGCCCTGTGGGCAACCTTTCACTGACACCTGTGTTTCTCAGGCCTTCTGTTCCTCCATCACATTGGTACCTCTCTGCATTTTGTCTGCTGGATCAATTTACAGCTTTTCTCTGCTCTTCTCTCCCCCATCTGAAGTCATCCCTTTTGTAGTATATGCAACTATACTCATCATGCAATGTGAAGATGTAAGTCACTTTTCAGTATGTTCAGCAGTCTTTGCTTGAAGTTGCTTTGCAAACTCAGCAGAATATATTCCATCTTTTTTGGAGTCTTCAGCCTTTAGACAGGATGATGGAGGTACAGAAGTTGCGTGATAAGTCACTGGGAACATCGGCAATATGCATGTCTGCAGCCTGGGAATGTAATTTTCTCTGTAAGTTACCATTTTTGTGTAGCATGCTGTTTGTACTTTGTGTTTTTGTGGGTGTGTACATCTGCAGTACTTACACTTTTGTGTGCAGTGATGGTGTTTTCTATCTTTTTGTGCATTTTCTTTTGTGAAAGTATGGTATATTTCTACTGATGTTAAATGTTAAGTCTGCCAGTACGCATCTTCATAGTGAGCATGTGGCTGTGTATTTGTATGGTATGTATTTTTATGTTTCTAGCACATGCATTTATTAATTTTGTTTTAATACCTTCCTAGTCTTGTCATAGTACCATTGTAGCCAGGGGGAGGAGTTACTAGTTTATGGTGAAGGCAAAAGTAACTCTGAACAAAACCAAAACATCATATTTGGGTATGAGAGTATTCTAAGAATGTTATTCTGACAACTAACTCAAAAGTGGTTCCAAAACTCTTCCAAGCTACTTGCTGAACAGCAGAAGAGCAGAAGGCCTTGTGTTTGCCTCAGCTTTTCTTAGATGTTCAGAAATTCAGGCATAGAGTATCTATCCTTTCTTTTAAGGTGAAACCAGCCAAATCTGGGGGGGGGGGAGGGGGGGGGTGCACGTTTATGCATTTAATCCACATTGTTCATTTTTCTATCCTGTGCCCATTAAAAGTCATACAGATTATTGATTTTGTTTGTCCTCCATGGTTCCATAATCAGAAGTCATGAGGAAATTTCTAGAAATTCAACCACTGGCCAAACTTTGCATTTGGAAATATGTCTTTGCAAGAAGCAATGCAAATGAGCACTGTTGTGGGCTGGGGAGCAGTGCAGATAGCATAATGAGAGGAAGCAAGGGGAGTAAGAGTGATTAGGGATGAGAGCCAGCCTGTGAGAGGATCAGAAAGGGGAGGAAGGCTTTGAATCACGATTTTTGTGAACTTGTCTTCACTAATATAGCGCAGATGGAGGTTGTGCTTCTCATTCATATTGTGACAGACTCATTCTTGAGCAAAATATTCTGAAAGTAATCACTGCTAAGCAACGCATACCCCAGTCACTGCAAGCTGGCTCTAGCATTCCAGATATTGTCGCTCCTGAGGATCAAATGAGAGCTGTCCTCTTAGGGTGTCCTTCATGTGAGGTCAGAATTAGTTGCTGGCTGAGGATTACGTAAGAGGCACGGATGAAAGGAACCGAAGCAGAAGTGGCTGTGGGTAGTTCTGGCTTCTGATAATGAGAATTTCTTTGTCACATGGATATTCCCTGGAATATTTGGATGTGTTTCTGCCTTCTTGGAAGAAGCTGTTTCTGTCCTCTTGGCCACAATGATTGGTCCCTGGAAAGAAGCAGGTAAAAGGTCTGATATTCAGCGTACCATTTATTTACCCACACCACGTGATATTCAGTTTGCTTTTAAAATGCATACACTGTGGTCGCCCCTTTGGCTGACTGCACAGCTAACAGTGATGGGGATGTTAGGGGGGAGGAATTCTGCTTGGCAGCAAGTCAACAGCAGGCAGCAGAAGATGGAGTTCAGGGCAGTGGCATCAGTCCTTGATTCCATTTCGCCCTTTACTCACCACCTCCTTTTTCCCCATTCTCCTGTCTGGACAGCTTAAAAAAGGAAAGGAAATGAGGCAATGTGAGTAATGGTTTTGATTCATGACAGAAAACTGAAACAGCTTAAACAGAGAATGTGGCAGAACAAAAACATGAGCCTTGCTGTGCATCCACACTGCCATGCTTAGGCACTCAGTGTCAGCAAATGGCCATCCACTTGGTGCACATTGGATGTAAAGTGGAGTACAGAAGCCTCACGTACAAATAGTGTGCAAAAGTGAGATTCTGCATTTCTGACAACGGGGAACTTGTCTACGTTCCAGAAAAAGGCTGCATTTCCACTTTCCAAGGTGTCACATAGCTTTGGCCACCAGCGAGACAGTTACCTAAGTGGTAACACTGCTGGTAACATAGGTGACATAGGTTACAGCACGTGCTCCTGCACCTCTGCTTCCCCTGCCTCCGCTCTGGGAGGCAGCAACGACTGACGCTGTGTTTGGAAACAAATGAAGGAGCCCTGCCATCTCTGGGGGTGGGATGATTGCTGGGATCAGGTCATTTTGTCCCAGACTTGCTCCCAGTCCCATAA